TGCCTCGTCCACAACCTTGCTTTAATCATTAGGCTTTAAGCTATAAGCACTAAGTAGTAAGCTATAAAACTTAACCTGTTACATCAAGTAGTCCACAACATTCATGGACATAATCTTTAAGGCGTGGTGCCATGCATAGTGCTGATCAGGCAGCGGAAGGTTATGTGCAACATAGCAGCATTTAAACAAATTATGAGACCAATAGTACGAACATCATTATTACTTATGCTCTGTGCGGGTAATACATACTTATTAAATGTTATGATGTATTTGAGAAAGAAAATTCAAAAGCGTCGTTGGTGGGTGCATCCCTTCTATCGTGAACGTGCACAAGTAGGAGCGTTTGAAAAAACATTTATAAAATACAAGAATAATGACCATGAAAAGTTTTTTAAACTAACAAGAATGACACCGAATCAATTTGACGAACTCCTGGGAATGATATCTTTTCGTTTGCAAAAGAACAGTTATCGAGACTATCTTACTCCTCAATTTCGTCTAGCTTTCACAATTTGGTACGTATTTATTAAGAGAACTATAGCTCATTGTACATTAGTATAATTATTAGAAACTTGAAAGAGAATGTTAATTTTGTTTTCATTTGAATATGATATAGCTTCCTGGCATCAGGAAACACATTGCCACATCTTTGTGAATATTGGAAAATAGGGAAATCAACTGGCTACGCCATCATCGAAGAAACATGCGAGGTCATTTGGGAGACACTAAAATCTATACATCTTGCTACACCAAATGAGGAACAGTGGAAACTCATTGCAAATAAATTTGACGAGCGATGGAACTTTCCTCACTGTTTGGGAGCCTTAGATGGCAAACATATTCGGATACAGTGCTCCCCACGAAGTGGTTCTAATTTCTTCAATTATAAACAGTATTATAGTATGGTTCTGATGGCAATTTGCGACGCAAATTATTGTTTTACGTGGATAGATATAGGAAGCTATGGTATATTGAATCACCTTAATTGTGCATATTTTTTTTCTTAAAGAAATCAAATTTATCAAAAGGTGTAGATTTTTTATTGCAATACTGTTTTAGGTTCACATCATGACAGCAGTATTTTTACTGCTAGTGCCTTTGGCTAGGCATTATAGAGAGGTACTCTGAATTTACCTCCACAGTCTCGAGTGGAAGGATGGAATAAAGAATGGCCATACATTTTTATTGCAGACGAAGCGTTTCCACTTCGAACAGATCTCTTGCGACCATACTCAAGAAAAAATAATTTAGGAAAAAGAGAAAAAGTTTTCAATTATAGATTGTCCAGGCCGAGGAACATCATTGAAAATGCTTTTGGCATATTGGCATCAAGGTAAATAAGTCTGACAAACTTAGATTAAATAAATTTCATTTGATATCACATTTATATAAAATTAAAATATTTGTCAAGGTGGAGAGTGTTGCGAACATGCTTAAGCATGAAGTTAAAAACGGTAGAAAGTATTGTACTCTCTACGATATGTCTTCACAATTTTCTCATGAAACGGGAAGAACACATAGCTGGATTCAAACAGTATTGTCCTCCCTCCTACATTGACCAATATGATGAAGACGATAATATTACACCAGGAGAATGGCGCAATAATATAATGACTCAAAATATACAACCACTGCATAGAATAGGAGCAAATAGAGCAACAACAGATGCAATTGCATTGAGAAATAATATTGCTGAATATTTTTTAAGTAATGTAGGTCAAATTCCCTGGCAGTGGGCTAGAATACATCCAGGAATAAATGTACCTGAGAGAAACTAAAAACATATTAAATAAATAACATATAAAAGTGTATTGTAATAAAAATACATTGTATTTTATTCTCTTTATAATTTTACAACATCCATTCGATGACTCCACAACTATTATATTATTAAATTAGTATTCACAAATATAACAGTTCTCATAAAATAAAAAATTATCTTTAGCTCTATCAACAGAAAAGAAATCAAATTAAACTAAAAATAAATATAATACTGTTTATAGTAATACAGTTTGTGTCCTTATAACAAAAACCATCTCTTTAACTCTACGAATAAACGACGAATGAAACTAAACTAAAATTAAATATAATAATACTGTGTTTACAATCACGTTTACATTGTCGATGCTTATAATATTCAAATAAAATACAATGCTATACAAAATTTTATATAGTAATCAAATAAAATCTTGTAAAATAAAGTATAAGAAAAAGAATTGCGTAATGTAATCAGGAACGATATTCTTTAATAGTATTCATTATTGTTAAAAAACAGTCCAATAACTTTTCCGTAGAAACGTCTTCTAATGCTGCTATTATTGCTCCAGCATAGGGATTCTTACTTTGTTTTGTCTCAGTTGCTGTTGGTACTAGGCATGAAACTGCCTTTGCAGCATCTTGAAAAGCAGCAGAAGATTGTATTAGCATATCTTCAATATTATGTTTTTTCTTTTTCGAGGAATGAAAAATGTCAGGAGGAGGAGTAGTGACTTTTTTCTTAATAAATGACGAGACATTTATATCCTCAACTATGGAAGAACTGTTATCTTCGATCACATTTGTCACAACATTATCATTAGAACTTTCCCATACATTCAAAATCAACTCATTGTTAGACAATGAAGATGAACTTGTCTCTAGGCATGAAAAATTACATGAAGAGGATGATCGTGGTGAAGATATTGTCTCTGTACATAGTAGTGGCGATGGAGAAGACACTGTTGGTGCAGATGGAGACAGTACAGGTACTGATATAACAGACGATACTGATGGACTTTCTTTTGGCTGCATAAGCTGCGTAGATTGCGTAGCTTGAGATAGAGATCCTCTTGTTCTGAAATCAATCATAATTGTACACTCAATAATCATCTGCTTTTCAAGATGTTGTAAAGACATATATATTTCTCTATATAATTTATTACAACCAAGAAAAAATATTCTATAAATTACATTGTGAGACACAAGATATTTACTTGCGTGGATTAATATGTGGAATCAAAAAACTCATTGCACCCATTAGTGGCCATTGGACAGTTTTGACTCCACCACCAGAACCACTGGGGGGCTTTTGTCTCATTTCACGTAGTTTTTTTGACAGCTGATTTCTTAGTTGAACAAAACGATCCTCCAAATCCTCTCCTATATAGTATAATATTAAATTGAGGTTAGAGTATATACAGGTTTTAATTACTTAATAAAAAGTATAAT